ACAAATTCATCCTCCTTTGCAGGACTAGGAAGCAGGACATATTTGGTTGCCAAACAGGTTGAGAAGAAGTTATATTGCATTAAGAAGAAATTGTTTTCAGAAAGATTATTATAGCTTCAACTTGTTTTTTGTTAAATCTACGTTTTGTGAAGTCTTTCCATAAAATTAGTTTTTCTTGACATATTTTCCCCTTCTTGTTTCTCTTGGAGCCCTTTGTTGTGATAAAATCTCATGGCATAGTTTTGGAAGAAAGAGTTTGTTCCAGGGAAGGTCAAGATGCTAACTCACTGCCAGAATTTCATGCCATAGATTTAGTGGAATTGCTTCTCCTTTCATCTTTATCGTCTCTTAAAAGCAGGTCCTTACATGACTACCAGAGATCTGAGATTTCTCACATCAAGTTTATGTAAAGCTTTGATACTAATCAATTTCAAACTTGACTCAAATCCAAATGCTTGGTTGGCTCTCAGGAAGCACAGTAAGTCCAGTGTGAGATGATGCCTGTCCTCACATCAGAAACTTTGACCTGATTTCCAAATATAACCAGTTCCTGTGTTGGAACTGAAGTCCTTGGCTTTATATATCATCGACTCCTGCTCTCTACTTACCTCTGCTCTGTAGAAAGTGAAGACAAAGTTGACTGGAGTTTGATAGGACTATAAATGTTATAAGAATGGATTCTCTATAGAAGTATCTGTTCTGGTAGTAGGAAATCTGACTGCAGCATATCTACTTTTTACATCTTATGCAGAGGAATTCTCTCTTCCAAAAGTCATGAATATGTCATTGATTTCATAATTAAATAAAAGGGAGAAGAAGGGGGCGTGCATAAGCGCAGGGGGCGTGCATAAGCGCACCAACGTGCCTACCGTCCCTGTCCTATTGTTTCTCTTATTCTTTTATTTTTCTTATATGTACCCATTTCATGTATTCACAACTATGTATACATTTATACTTATTATCTTGTAAACAATTGGCAAATCAAATAAATAAAAATAAATAAATAAAGAAAGAAAGTAACCTATTCCAGCACAGGTAATCCTTGACTTACTAACTTACATTTAGTTATAGTTTGAAGTTGCAACAGCACTGAAAAAAAGTGTCTTACAACTGGTCCTCTCACTTATGACTGTTATCCCCAGTCACATGATTAAAATGTAGTGCTTGGTAACCAGCTGGTATTTATGATGGTGGTAGTGTTTTAGGGTCATGTGATCACCATTTGCAACCTTCCCAGCTGGCTTTCAAGCAAACTCAATAGGGGAAGCTGGATTTGCCCAATGACCTCATTTCACTTAACAGCAATGGTGATTGCTTGACAACCATGGCAAAAAAATGTTCATAAACTTTGATGCAACTCACTTAACAACCACCTGGCAAAGCAAAGGAAATTCTGGCCCCAATTCTGGTTATAAGTTGAGGACTACTTTAAAAATCTAATCAATCCTAGATAAGACATTTGCATGCAGAGATTGACCCGTCATAATTTGATAGAGTCAGCAAAGCTGGTTACTGAAGAGAGGGAAAACCTCAGAAATTAGAGTCAAAAGTACTTCCAAAAAGCAGTGACAGGTTTATAGTAGGAATGAGATCTAGCTCTTAAATTGGGCTATTAATCTGGGTTGAAGTTTATGGTAGGGAGGTCTATGGAAAGATTTAGGTGGCAAGTATGTGTCCTGTTTCATCTGGAAGATTCATTACTAGAAAAACAAAGTATTCTGTTATTTAATTGCCATACATTTGATTGCATTATTCAAATTCTCCATGAAAAACAACCAGATTGTTGATCATAGAAAACTATTCCAGAAGATCTTTAGCTTCCTTCAACCGGCTGATACTAAAGCATCTAAGAGTCTAAGAGTAGACTAGACGAGACATGATGGTCCAGGGATTCTTGGCTACAGATGGTGTAAGAGAATGTTAATGTATGGTAGCATTTTTTTTCTCACTAATAAATATATTAAAAGGCATTAGCTTTAGTGAACTACATTTCACTTCATTAGATGCATGGAACAGTTAAAGTGATGTAGGAGTTAAGTTAGGATGATGTGTTTGTATTGGGTGGGAGGGGTAGTTTTACAGAGTGGTATAGCTTAACTCTTTTTTGAAAAATCATACATTGTCCTCTGCAGTTTGGTTCCTCCTTGGAGCCTTTTGGGAGAGCTTTCCCAGCTATGTGCTAAACTGCTTGAATCTACAATATGCCTACTTGTTCTCTTGACCTTCTCACTTGAAAGACTTTGTACTTTGTGTCAACTACATCCGTCCACTAAGCAGCCCATAATCATTGTACTCATTGATGTGTCCACTTTATCAGTTCTGATTTAAAAACAATGCCTCTCGTGTTCCCTACTGGCAGTTTGTTTCTGTCTTCAAGACACTTCAAGAGATCGTTCTGGCAGTATTTCTCTCTAACCTAACCTGCCACTGAAATCCATTCTGCCCTGTTGACTTATAATGTTAAAAGGAACACGCCTCTTCTCAGGTTGGATCAGTTATACATTTGTATAACACTCTGGGCTCCGTTTCTCCCACTGGTCTGTGAATGTTTTTGGTGTGACCAGTTAGCCTGCTACCTTCTCAGTTCCAACTTATATTAAAGGGCTCTCTATTATAGCCACTGCCTGATTTACAGACCTTCCTCTTCACGACATCTCCAAAGAAGCCAGGCAGTCTACTTCATCTTATGCTTATGAAACACTGTGGTCTGGATGTCAGGGCCAGGGATGTGTGGTTATTTTTGTTTTAGAGAAAGAGTGGGTATTTCTTCTTTTTATCTGTAAGTAGCCTTGCTACAACAATATATGGGCAATTAGGGGGGCAACATCCTTGTTTTTTTTCAACTTGATTAAAAAGTACTCTAAAATGTTGGGCTGATAGGGTAACCTGTCAGCATGATTCAAGACAATCATAGGAATAATGACGTACAAGAAACCCACTGTGATATAAATTGCAGCTGAGTTGGTTGCTGGGTATTAATGCTAACATTTTACCAAGTAAAGCCAACAAAATGTACACTTTCCTTAACATTCCTCCATATTAGTCCTATCTTACCCACTGTTAGTTATTTTTTTATGGATAGGTTAAAACATTAATCTACATTTTTTTGGTTACTACCTTGGATTTCAAAGATGAAATATTATGTCTGTTTTTATTAAGGAAGCTATTGTTGTATACACCTGATTTAGCATCTGTAGAAATTTATTCCATGGTAACATTTACTACTTCATGTTTGATATGTGTATATGTAAATGAATTACGTATGTACAGTTGTTGTTTATATTACAACTAGTTATGAGAGAAACAATCCTGAGACACTTTCATCATGACTACAAGTAAGGCATCTGTTTTTATAGTTAGGTTTGAGAATCCTTGTAAGAAAGTTGGCTATTGTTAGTGCTTAATCTTCAGTATCTTCTATTTAATTTTTTAAGTGTTGCAATGCAGCAACAAAGTTTCAATATATTGAGTTTTTATTCTTCTTTCATCCAACTTTAATTATTTTGAGTGAGATAACCTTGCCCAAACCTTTTAACAAATTTGTGATGAATGATACTTAATTAGAATTAAGTTTTCTAAACCAAGAAATCTATTACTTTTCTGATTAAATAACCTTGCACTTATTTAGATAATTTATTTTTATTCTTATCTTGGACAACCAAAATAAGCTCATTTTACTTTACTTTTTTTTTTTGCCCCATCCAGCTGTGCCTAATAACTTGGTTACAAAATCTAAACATAATTAATCTATTTCCCAAAGAACAATTAATACACCATTTAACAAACAACAAACTAACAACTAGGAAGACAGAACTATGTTGTAGTGCTACCTATTTTGTTTAGCTTCCATTGAAATCAATGGGAAAGCAGCTGTTAATTTTAAATGAACAGTGCCCTTCCTTTCACTAGTGCATATGTTTGTGCTTCGTTGAAAATAATTGCACACAACTATTATGCTAAAAATATTAGTGAGAGTGCTTGCAGGATTGGTCATATGTAAGATACTGAAGGAGAATTAAAATCTCTCAGATTTTTTTGTATTAATTGATTCACATCTCCTCCTGTTGCTACAAGTTGACAGACAGAAAAAGGGGACAGGCCATACAAAACTCATTATCCTTTTCCCCTTGCTCCTTCCACTGTTTGCTCAGGTGGAAAGATATAGTGAAGATCTATTTTCAATAGATCCAGCCTCATGAAGAACAATTGCATCAAATCCTTTCTGGAATGACTATTATAGAGGTGCCAGAACCCTGACATGTAGATTCCTACATGTCCAAATCCTTCATCCTTCATTCCTACATTGTCCAAATCCATCAATTTCACAAACAACTTTACAAACCATAGACTTTCATATTCCAAGGGACTGGGAGCTGTTGGGAATTTGTTGAATAGTAGCTCTTGCCAGCCCCAGCCAGGCTTGCTGGCTGGCAGTGACGGCTTCTGGGAACTGAGATTTAGCACTATCAGAAAGACTACAGTCCCACACCCCTAGTTTATCAGCTCATTCACTTGCCTCAAAGGGAAGATAGAGATTTCATCTGACAGCAGGAAGCAACAGGAACTATGGACTTTGGGAGAATCCTGCTTAAAGGACTGGATATTGTCTTATGTTGGCAGCTAAAGATTTTTCGTTTCTGTTGACCAAACCTTTGACAATAAAATGAGATGCGTGTATGGGGGAGGGGATTAACAGTGGATTAAATATAACTAATTGCTATCTAGGCCGCATATTTTAATTTACTCTATGCAGTAAACAGTTATGAATTGTTAAAAGTTAACCATTTAACTTTAAAGATGAATAAAAAGTTAAAAGTCATGTTATAAATCGAACATTTACATATCTGAAGTAGTACAGGGTTTCCTGCTTGAGCAGGGGATTGGACCTGAAGACCTCCAAGGTCCCTTCTAACGCAGTTATTCTGTTAAACAGAATTAAAATAGAAAATGTAACGTTCAGTGAAAACAAATTAATGTATTTTCTCGTTGTCCTTGTTTAGGTCATGGAACCAAAGGAGTATTTGAACTTCTGTCAGGATGGCGTCGAACCAGAGAAAATTTGCCGTTTAAAGACAGGGTTGCAGATGCCTATTCGGACGTAATGGTTTCCTACACCATGACAAGCTCCTTGTACTTCATAGCCTTTGGCATGGGTGCCAGTCCTTTCACCAACATTGAGGCTGTGAAAGTCTTCTGCCAGAACATGTGCATCTCCATCCTGTTGAACTACTTCTACATCTTCTCTTTCTTTGGCTCCTGCCTGGTGTTTGCTGGGCAGCTGGAGCAGAATCGTTACCACAGTATCTTCTGCTGTAAAATCCCTTCTGCAGAGTATCTGGAAAGGAAACCCATTTGGTTCCAAACCATGATGAGTGATGGGCACCAGCAGTCTTCTCATCATGAGACTGACCCGTACCAGAACCACTTTATCCAGCATTTTGTAAGGGAGCATTACAATGAATGGATCACTAATATCTATGTTAAGCCATTTGTGGTGATACTGTATCTCATTTATGCTTCTTTCTCCTTTATGGGCTGCCTGCAAATCAGTGATGGGGTCAATATTATCAATTTGCTTTCTAGTGATTCTCCAAGTGTGTCCTATGCTGTTATTCAACAGAAGTACTTCAGCAATTATAGCCCCGTGATAGGATTTTATATCTATGAACCTCTTGAGTACTGGAATGGCACTGTCCAAGATGACCTAAAGAAACTGACTGACGGCTTTAACACACTGTCCTGGCTCCAGCAATATTACCATTATCTGAGAGCTGGGAATATCAGTGCAACCAATAAAAGTGACTTCCTTAGCATCCTCCAAAACTCCTTTTTAAGAAAGTCTGAGTTTCAACACTTTAAAAATGATATTATTTTCTCCAAGTCTGGAAATGGAAATAACATCATTGCTTCCTGTATGTATCTTGTAGCTAGGACTAGTGAAAAAACACAAAGCGATGTTATAGAATTATTGGAGAAACTCAGACCGTTGTCCTTGAAACAGAGCATCAAGTTTATTGTCTTCAACCCTACTTTTGTCTTCATGGACCAGTACGGCCTCTCAGTAATTATGCCTGTCTTGATCTCAAGTTTTGGCATCTTGCTGGTCTTGTTACTCACATTCTTCCTTGTTATTCACCCTCTGGGGAATTTCTGGTTAATTCTCACTGTCACCTCAATAGAGTTGGGGGTCCTGGGCTTGATGACTTTATGGAATGTAGACATGGATTGCATTTCTATATTGTGCCTTATTTACACTTTGAATTTTTCCATAGATCACTGTGCACCCCTGCTTTACACATTTGTACTGGCAACTGAGCATACCAGAACTCAGTGTATAAAAGGTTCACTCCAAGAACATGGAACAGCAATTTTGCAAAATGTGACATCTTTTCTTATTGGGTTGGTCCCCCTCCTTTTTGTGCCTTCAAACTTGACCTTCACACTGTTCAAATGCTTGCTGCTCACTGGGAGTTGCACACTTCTGCACTGTTTTGTTATTTTACCTGTCTTCTTAACGTTCTTCCCACCGTCCAAAAGACACCGTAAGAAAAAGAAACGAGCCAAACGAAAGGAGCGAGAAGAAATTGAATGTATTGAAATTCAAGAAAATCCTGACCACGTGACAGCAGTCTGAAAGTCAAATAAAAATATGTGGGTTTTTTAGTACTGAAAAAAATGTTACACGGAGCTGCAAGGAAAGGAAAGATCTCCACTGCTTGTGCTGGCCCCTGCGAAGCAAGACAAAGGAAGCCCAAGGAAGGAGCATATGGAGGTGAACGTGTTGTTAAAGTAATAACCATTTAAAAGAAAAGAAATGAGAGAGGGGTTAAAAAATTCCTCTAAAAAGTTTCTCCTTTTAATCCTATGACTTCACCAAGGGGGATGCTTATTAGCAGTTTTAGCACACACACAAAAGATCTCTTACAAATGAAATTATTAAGATTGTCCTAAGTTTACTGATTTTAACAGGCCACGTAGTTTCAAAACAGGAAGAAAAGAAACCGTTACACGAAAACATAGGTACTGCCACAATAGTGAACATATATTTTAAAAGTTGGCCCAAATAAAACCTATGCAATTGGGAAGTAGATATTCATTTCATCTGAAGCCAAGTACTTCCTTATTTTCATGCATCTTTATCTGTCTGCAAGTCACAGATGAAAATCGTTTTACTACTTCTGATAGCCAGTATATCCCCTCCTAAATTATAAGTTCTGTATGTACAGTATGTGAAAGAAATTATTTAAAGAAAGTTAGCTTCTACAAAGGTGGCATTTGACTATGCTTCCCTTTATGAATACAGTGCCCCTTACAACTAAAAGTAATGAGAGTCACAGCAGACTCTCCTTGAATTCTGTCAAGCATCCCAGGGCTGAAACACTGCAGTGCTACCTATAATTACTGCAGTGCTGTCCTTTTGCTTCCTACACATACTCCGTACCAACATTAGGCACAGCATACTAATCAGGCCAACGTGTCAGCTATAATGATAGATCGCATTCCATAGATACAGCATGGGAATCATTTTGTGCCTGGATCATGTTGGCTACATAGCAATGTAAGCACCATTGAGGCAGCTCAATGTGATGTGATGCAAGATTTTCCTTTGAAATATTTTCCAGATGACAAGTATTTCAAATCTCCTTTGGCAAACGGATAAGTTGACTGTGTCTTTTGCCGTAAGAAATTGAGAAAACATACATGTTTTAGTGAGAGATAGCAAGCGCAAGAGATGAGGCTGCTTTAGAAATTGTTCTTTATAAAGCATTACTATTAAATATCTGATAGAATAGCTATGATAAAAAAAAGCTTTGTGGCTGTTGAGAATTATAGATGAAAGCAGTGAATGTGTCTCTTACTGCATGACTTTAGAATTAAACCATAAAAAAATGATACTACCTGTTCTACGAGTGAAGTCTCTGCTTAGAACTACAAGTGCAAGAGAAAGAATGGAAAAAGAATGAACCAAAAAACATAGATTGGGTGAAATTTTACCCTGAATTAAGCCACGTATTTCTCTCCCAAATGCATTTTGGAAAGGGCTTGCTTCATGCATTGTTGCCTTGCATAAATGAGCAATGTCTTCCTGAAAAATATATTTTGTATATTATTATCACTGTTGACAACCAGTGTCAAGGGGAATGTGGGGAGGTATTAAAATTACTAATTCTTCTCAAAAGAAGCCGATTCATTTCACAGACTCTAATCATCTATACGGTGCCAGTTGGCTGTGCATTGAAGATTTATGGATTTATACAGAGCTACAGCTGCTATATCTGGGCTGCAAATATCTGGACAATCACTAGATGGAAACAGAGAGAGAAAACTCTCTTTGCCACTCACCTTCCTCCTCACCTCAGTTCTCCTCACCGTCCCCAAGTGGCATGTGAATGACTAGAGATGAGTAAACTGTAAGCAATACCACACAAAGGAAAGGGCGGATAAAGTGAATGTGAGAGGTGCTCATAATCCTCCCACTGAAAATGACAACCCCTCTGTAATGTCCATTCAAATGCCCATTCCTAAGTCAGGGAGGGAAGAGGCTTCCACAGAACTCAATGCTGGCCCTTCCATGTTCTGTGTTCTTTCTTGTACTTGGTGAACTGTTTCAAGGTATTAATGCTGTAAAGAGATTCTGATTTGCGAATTATTTAACCTAAAGCCATATTCTCCAAAAACATGTAATGCCATAGTGAATCAAGGCCAACCCATTTGAATTGTTTCGTATTTTTATAGCTGTGCCAATCCAAGCAGACATCTTTAAGACAAACCTAGAGATATTGAAGATTTTAATCTGATATATTCTATATAGAAAGTATATGTTGTGTTACAAAGTAATTGTTCTTCTCTCTAATGTGTTTGGGGGAACTAAACATGTAGCTGGATTTAAACCCCCATGAATACATTACCTGCCATAAGAATTTTGTTCCTATAATATTCCATTGTAAGACAATCATTATTGATGACAATTTGTATTTGGTCATATAGAAGATATAGTTGGAGTGTAAAAGAAGGTAGTATGAGCAGATTGGCATACTTCTAGAAGACATTTTTCAAAATGGCTGCCAGACAGCCTTTTATAACACCACCCTCATGAACACATGTCAAATCCAATAAAATGTGGGTCATGCTACAATATAAGTTTTTGTATACAGGTAGCCCTCAACTTACAACAGTTCATTTGTTGACCGTTCAAAGTTACAATGACACTGAAAAAAGGGACTTATGATCATTTTTCACACTTAAGACTGTTGTAGCATCCCCATGGTCACATGGTTTACATTTGGATGCTTGCTGACTGGCTCATATTTATGACCATTGCAGTGTTCCACTGATCACCTGATCCCTTTTGCAACCTTCTGACAAGCAAAGTCAATGGGGAAACCATCACTTAACAAATTTGTCACTTAAGAACAAAAAAAATGGGCTCCATTGTGGTCGTAAGTTGAGGACTAACTATATAATGAGATAAATGATAACATTCTCCAAGGTTTAAATAATACTTAAATATAAAATAAAGAAATACTAGTATTTTTCCCCAGCAAATTCACAAATGAGTTTATGATGCACTCTATAGGATTACAAATATGTGTAACTCATATACAATTACATCATTAAGCCTTTGGCTTTCCAAGATGGAATTCTTGTAAGGTATACCAGTCTTCAAATCAGGCCCATAGTTGAGTATGAGAATCAACATGACATATACTCAAGATATTTTGTTAGCCTAAAACCTGTTCTAATTGATCAGCATACATTAAACAGAGGAAGATTTGCTTTGCCTCAAAGTTAACTGTACAGAATCTGCATTGCATCCAGGGACAACAGGCTGAAATGCTGACTGTATCATCATGAATTAGATTTTGGACAGTCAATCTACATACCAGTGTTCCAATAATATATGTTGTACTGCCATCTTATGTTCCTTACATAATTTTATGCCTAATCTCTTTTGTTATGCCCTACTCTGTATTTTCTTTCTGCGGTGTGATTTTTGCCTTTTAAAAATGCTATTTTAAATCATTCAGAAAAATGAGATGGCTTAACTCTTGTGACAAATAACTTTTAAAGCAACCAAGGGTTTGCCGCACTGTATAAAAAGACATTCCTGAGACGGGGGGTGAAATTAAGAAGCTTTTGTCATATTTAACAGTGGATCTATGGGTTACAGTACCTGTTAGAATGCTAATCCTAGCTGGAGAAACCAAACAAATGACTACATTTTGGTCAGGAACAAACATGTTCTCCATACAATTAGGTATTCAATGAAGGAAAGCAGTTCTGTACAGTATTAGCCACAGTTTGATGTGATCTTTTTATAGTCTGTGAACTAAAGCATGACTTCCAAGAATGCTTGAATAACTGTGAAAAGACATGCCCATTAAAATACATTTCCTGATCTTCAACTAATACAGAAATCCTTGCTGCCAAGAAACAGCTGAAATATTTCCTTCAAACAATGCAGGACATTCTTCAATTTCTCATCAACATACAATATTGATACATTGGTGGCACATGGGGAAAATGCAGCAATTAAAAACAATAACCGAAACTGTTACTGGAAGTTTAAAGGAAGACGTTTTGATGTTGTTGCAGTATATAGTAAAGCGAAAGACTTTTCGGTGCAGTTCCTCATGATAGGAAATTGGATTAAAAGGAGTGCAGGAGATCCAACGGTATCATTAAGATTCTTAGATTTCATAAAAAGAGGCAGATTATGTTAAACTCAGAAATGGCATGCACATCAACAAAAAAAAGCATGAAAACCTCACCCATTCAAGGAATTGAAATTGCTCCTTCAAGTCTTATATTTCTTCCATCACACAATGAGCTTGATTAGAAGATTTCAGACAAGAATAATTGACATTACAATAAGAGGGGATTCTGTTGCAGATATTTTTAATATGATATATTGCCATTCAAGTAGCAATTGATTGCTGATTTATTTGTGATGACTTAAAATCCTTTCTGTAAACTATTTCCTTGCAAGTATGCCTCTATTTCCAATATACCTTGTTGATTGCCCACAACTAGGAGGCTAAAAGGCAGATACACCTTCCACATTTAAGACTTTCAAAGTGTATAGCAGAATTATACTCACATTTGAGCAGCAGACTTCAGTTTTAGAGATGCACTGAAAAATTCATCAAGAGCATGAAAGACAGAGACGATTTTATCTGATTCCTTACATTTAATAACCTTTGAATGTGACACCACGATTCCTTTCAGATATTTTGAAGAGAAATGTGGTTTGGAGACTTACTAATTTTGACAAGATGAAAGATAAACTCAAGGTAAACCGCACCAAACTTGATTGCAGGAAATACGACTTCAGCAATAGAGTGGTCAATGTCTAGAATACTCTACCTGACTCTGTGGTTTCTTTCCCAAACCCCAAAAATTTTAACCTTAGACTGTCTACTATTGACCTCACCCCTTTCCTAAGAGGCCTGTAAGGGGGCGTGCATAAGCGCACCAATTGTGCCTACCATCCCTGTCCTATTGTTTCTTTTTTATTTTTATTTCTTTTATTTTTCTTATATGTATCCATTTTATGTATCCATAACTATGTTTATACTTATACCTGTTATCTTATAATTGCTTGACAAAATAAATAAATAATAAATAAATAAA